GGGAGCGGCCCGGGGAGCAGGAGCGCACCATGGAGGCGGCGGCGGGCGGCCGCGGCGGCTTCCAGCCGCACCCGGGGCTGCAGAAGACGCTGGAGCAGTTCCACCTGAGCTCCATGAGTTCGCTGGGCGGCCCGGCCGCCTTTTCGGCGCGCTGGGCGCAGGAGGCCTACAAGAAGGAGAGCGCCAAGGAGGCGGGCGCGGCCGCGGTGCCAGCTCCGGTGCCCGCGGCTGCGGAGCCGCCGCCCGTGCTGCACCTGCCTGCCATCCAGCCACCGCCGCCCGTGCTGCCCGGGCCCTTTTTCATGCCGTCCGACCGCTCCACCGAGCGCTGCGAGACCGTGCTGGAGGGGGAGACCATCTCGTGCTTCGTGGTGGGCGGCGAGAAGCGCCTCTGCCTGCCGCAGATCCTCAACTCGGTGCTGCGCGACTTCTCGCTTCAACAGATCAACTCGGTCTGCGACGAGCTGCACATCTACTGCTCGCGCTGCACGGCTGACCAGCTGGAGATCCTCAAAGTCATGGGCATCCTGCCTTTCTCGGCGCCCTCGTGCGGGCTCATCACCAAGACGGACGCCGAGCGCCTGTGCAACGCGCTGCTGTACGGCGGCGCCTATCCGCCGCCCTGCAAGAAGGAGCTGGCCGCCAGCCTGGCGCTGGGCCTGGAGCTCAGCGAGCGCAGCGTGCGCGTGTATCACGAGTGTTTCGGCAAGTGCAAGGGGCTGCTGGTGCCCGAGCTCTACAGCAGCCCGAGCGCCGCCTGCATCCAGTGCCTCGACTGCCGTCTCATGTACCCACCGCACAAGTTCGTGGTGCACTCGCACAAGGCCCTCGAGAACCGGACCTGCCACTGGGGCTTCGACTCGGCCAACTGGCGGGCCTACATCCTTCTGAGCCAGGACTACACGGGCAAGGAGGAGCAGGCGCGCCTCGGCCGCTGCCTGGACGACGTGAAGGAGAAGTTCGACTACGGCAACAAGTACAAGCGGCGGGTGCCCCGGGTGAGTGTCTCTGTCAGCCTTGGCTGCAGGAATGGTGGGATGCTGGGTAAGCTGGGCCCCAGGGTCTGGAAGCTGGGGAGGCGGCACCAGGAGGGGCCAGTCCCTGGGAAAGGGTGGGGGGCCTTCCTGGGCTTGGGGTTGTGTGTCAGCAGGCTAGGACGTGCGCTTCTGCCTCCTCTGATGTTGTAGGGTTTTGTTTTGTTTTGTTTTAAGGAAATCTAGGGTAGTGTTAGTTGCTATCAATGGCCATGTAGCGTGGAAGGAAGGACCTTCTGGTGGACCCCTAGGACAAACTGGCTTGCCCAGTGTGAGGGGCCCTGGGGGTCTGGGGCCAGGCCTGGTGGGTGGAGAAGCCTTTTTGAGGCCCACAGCCATTACCCAGATGGACCAGGAACGGCAGGCCTCGGGTGCTTGTGCCCTGAGTCCTGGGAAGTTAGATTCCGACTGGGCCCAGGCTGGAGCCTCAGGCCTTCCTCAGGGTCCTAAGGAGGTGTCCAGACCGGGTGGGGGTGAAGGGCGCTGCGCTCGTCTCGAAGTTCTTAGGCTTGCAGACAGAGGGGTGCTTGCCCATGGTCTCCAGCAGACAGAACTTGGCGAGGTGGGGCCTGTTTGTGCCTTGAGGTTCTTGGAGACAGACTCAAAAACGAAGCCAGGTGTCCAGGCTGAGGTGGCAGGGGGCCGAGACTCTGCGACTCCAGCTCTGTGCGTCTCTGTGGGCCTGCCAGTAAGTGCATCCCAGAGTCCCTTGTGCGGGGGTGAGGGCCACTTGGCACTGGGCTTGGGGCCTGGTCAAGTGTTGGAGTAGCCAACGGCTTGCGATTTGTTTTGGACGCCGTGTTTCCTTCTGTTCTTCTCTCTGAAACGCTGAAGGGTGCGGCTGGGAGGGCCGTGACCGAGGCTCTGTTGTTTGCCAGGCGGAGGATCTGTGATCGGCCGGGCAGCTCCTGGGCCACTAGGTGCCAAAACCATCCACTGGGGTCTTCACCAACTTTTCATAGTATTTTCTCTCTCCCTAGCTATTTGTGATTTTCATTTTAAATATCTAGGCTTATTAAATTGCGCACACAGAATGCTGCATTGGTTTAGCTATTCTTGGGAGGCCTAATTAATTCAGCTATTGCATCAAACTTTTTTTTTCTAAATCTGTGAATAGATGCTCCCGCCCGGTTTTCTCTGGGCGCCCCTCCAGTGGAGTGTCAGAGTCTCTGGGAGCGGAGGAGGGGCTGGAGAACAAGGGGCCTGTCGCCTGTGCTTGGAGGGGGTGCCACACATGTGAGCGTGTGCGTGTGCTCGTGGTGTTTCTGCCCTTGGCTAGGCCAGTGCCCAGGTGGCAGCTGTCTGCAGACTGTGTGGTTGGGGTTGGGCAGGAGGGATGGTCTGAGTGGGGAGCATGCCGTGGGGGAGGATGCAGGTGGCAAAGGCCAAAGGCAGATTCCCAGCAGGCTGGCTGGGCCCTTTATTTCAGATAGGGAGTTGGCTGTGGGTGGCCTGATGGGCGCTCCCTGTGAACTGGGGCCTTTCTGTTTGGGGTGCCTGTATGTGGCCCGAGGGAGCCCCGTGTGCAGGATTGTGGTGGGTCCCGGCGGATGAGCTGGGAGGTGAGGCTGTGGCACGTCACTTGCCTGCAGAGCGGACAGCAGAGGCTCTTGTCTATGAGGGTGTGTCTGTCTGTGTTTGTGTCCGAGTCTGGGTCACGTGTATGTTTGTGGTCTTCCTGGGGTTGGCTGTTTGTCACAGCTGCAGACCCGGGCCCAGGCTCCCTTGCAGCAGGCCCTGCAGTTCTGGGTGAGTGTGTCTTTAGGCTCAGGGAAGGCCTGGCCTGAGCTCGAGGGCTCAGGCACTGCCTGGGGAGAAGGCAGGACAGTTCCCTGAGCCACAGTCACAGAGAAGAGGGTAGAGTACGCTTTTGCTCTGGTCATTGCAACAGATGGTCAGTGCTGCTCTTCCTTCTTCAACACTCTCCCCAGTGGTGCTCAGAAATCTCATTTACTGATAGAAAGCAAATTTTCCAAGTAATGTGCAAGACATGCTGCTTGTAAGCGGTTAGGGTCTTCAGGCCTAAGTGCCAGTCCAGCCTTGTCCTCACTGTGGTGGGCTGGGCGCAAGGTCCGGCGTGTCTCCTTCCAGGCCTTGGCACCGTCCGGCGTCTGCTCCTGTGCTCCCCGGACCTCGCCAGGCCCCCCGCCTCCGTGAGCTCCTACCTGCTCTCCTCCCGGCTCCTTCACCTCCGGGGGCACCCTTCCTTTTGGCCTCGTTCCCTCGTCCTGTTCTCGGGGCTCTGCCTGCTGCCTGGCTCTGAGACTGTGCACTTGGGAGTTCTGGGGGGCATGGGCCCGGTAAATCCGCCCAGCGCAGCGCGTGCGTGCCTGTCTGCATGCCAGTGGCACCACGTGAGAAGCAGGGTCTCAGCCTCAGAGTTGGCGGGACCAGTTCTGGAAGGAGCTGCCCCAGCACCCGGCCTGTCTCCGCCTGCTCCTCCCACCTGCTTCTTGACAGCTTATTCGTGGGATATGTTTTGATTTCTTCACTTCCTTTGTAGCTTATTTTAATATTCTTGATCTACCGAGGATGAGGACAGGAAAGAACAAAGAACGTGCTAGAACTGTTCTTTGGAGGGGACACGGCTGCCCTGGGGCCTTGGGTTCTGGTGAGGTGAAGTGAGCTGAAGTGCGTTTGGGTGTTGGGGGGCTGAGGTGTCCGGCTGGTCTTCTGCCAGGCAGACTCAGTCAGCGCTTCTCTGACCTCAGTGGTGGGGAGGGGTCGGTGATTTTCGTGCTGGCCCTGATGTCCGACTGCCTTTGTTCTCCTTGCTTTGCTTGTGGCCAGGAAACGGTGGTCATGGTTCCCGTGGTTGTCCCAGTGTGGAATTGAGTATAGGCCGGGGCTCCAGCTTCGAGCCTGGAAATCCTGTGAAGGTGGCGTGTCCTTGTGTGCAGGCTGGCGGCCTTCCTCGGTGCTGTCCTCTAATGTTATGAGGATCCAAAGAAAGTGCAGGGATGCCGGGGAGCCACTTCTTAGGTCCCTCTGGCTGCTGTCCTTGGGTGTCTTGCACTGGGCCAGCCTGGTTGTGGAACCCCACGAGGCTGCTCCCACATCCCCACTCGGTCCCTCACTGGCTGTGTGACCTTGAGCAAGTCGGTTAATCTCGCTGTGCCTCGGTTTTCGCATGTATGAGATGGGAACTGTAGGAATTGATAATGTTTTATTTCGCTAGCGTGTTTAGGTGTCGAGTGTCACAGGTGGGGTGGGGACATGTCATCTTGCTGCTGAGAACGTGTGGTGAGGAGATGGAACCTCAGAGCCTCCCGCACTGTCGTCCTCTCTTTTCTTCTGCCCCGTTGGCTATGTCTCTCTCGCATGCTTGTCTAATGACATTGGGGCTAAATTGGACTAATTTTTTAGTAGCATAGATTGACATCAGTCATAGAGGGGGACGTTGGTGCCACAGGCTTGGCAGCTGCCTGGGGCACCCCTCCTTGCCCCGCAGGACGCCTTCTCTCTGGGTGACCAGGTTCTTCCCTTGCAGGCCAGGACAGGACGGGGCGGTGCTCTCCCTCCCTGGGGCCCGAGCAGGGTTGACACTCGTGTACGTTCATATGCTCAAGAAACAGGCTTCCGGGGGCTGCTGCTTGTTCTGCGTCTTCTGACTCCAGCCTGAAGAGCCTGGCTTGTGTGAGTTTATTGTGTCTTTGTCCTTCAGACACCCCAGTTCTTGGAGCCGTCTTTTCCATAGGATTGCCCTTGTCGTGTGGGTCAATGTGTGTTAGGGCCCTGTGGGCTGATGGCCTCTCTGTGTGCTGCGTGAGCGTTGACTACTGATTTCTCAGAGTTCCTAACGTTGACACGGTTTTCCCTGTGTTATCTGATGACTTCCCTGGTCAGAGGGCAGTGTTTTCTTAAAGCAGAAACCCAGCCAGGCCCTCAGCGTTGAGAAGCATTGAGTCTTGAGGTCCCTTTTGGGGAATGACTTCGGCTTTTAGCTGCAGAGGCCAGGAGGATTCTCCTGGCCTAGGAACCCTCTCTGAGTGGGATGCATTTTGCTCTTTTGAGCTGAAATTACCACAAGAAGGAATGGCATCAGGAATGTTCCATCAGGCTGGAATGGACTGGGACCGCACTTCTTCCAAGACCTTGTCTTGGAAGGAGCAGCTGTGCTCACCCCAGTGCTGTCAGGTCTGAGTAGAGATCTAGAGGGTCAGCTGTCCCTTTGCCGCTTGTTTTGCTCTGGGTTTTCGGGGGGCTCCGTGGTGATCTTCTGGCTTCAGATGCTTGGCTGAGAAGGTGGGATGCCATCTCTAGTGATGCTCCGAGGCGAGGGTCCTAGACAGGCCCCAGCCCCCCATGCAGGAGGATAGGGTGTGCGAGTCGGTCTGGGCTCCAGTCAGTCTGGCCCCAGAGTGAAGGTCGGGGGTTGGGGAGCTCTTCTCAAATGGGGGAAACAGCAGCTCAAGCGAGGCCTTGGTTTCTGCCCTGCACCCGTTGTTGGCTATGCGAGAGCGGGGAGGGTGCGGGAGGCCACCTAGCTGCCTTCCGTCTGTCTGGAGTGAGCAGAGCCATGTTTAGGTGTTTTCCAAGTGTGGTCCATCTGTCCGTCTATCCATCTGTCAGCCGTCTTGCTAGTTTCCAGGACCTTCCTTTGGAGCTGGGATGGGCCCCTCACCTCTGGGGTTTCCCTAGTGCCAGCCTCTCACTTGAGGGCAGCAGGGTCATTGAGTGGGCCTCACCTCTGTTCCTGCTGCCCTTGCAGGGTCCCTCAGTCAGCATGGGGCTTTGAGGGTAGGCTTATGGACTTGAGGCGTCTCGGTTTCTCAACCTTCCCTGCAGCCGGTTTGTGTAATGTGTGTCTGAGATGTCGGGTGAGGGCAGACGGGACAGGGGCAGGAGGAAGTCTGGGGGAGGGTGCCCGAGCCCCGCCCTGGCTGAGCTGAGTGCTGCCCCGCACCCCTGGCCTGCCCGCTGGGCGCAGGGAGGGCCTGGGGAGGCAGTGCTTCCGGGGCCCT